CCGACGAAAAAATTCTCTCCACCACCGTCGTCCCCTTCATGATCCCAGAGTTTCTCTACTGCTCTCTGATATCGGATGTGACAGATCTACCCCTGTCGCTCTTTCCCGACCCTCGCTACCTTCCGACAGTACAACTACTTCCCCGCACCGCTGCGTTCGTTCAGTCGGTAACCTCCCTAGATCCGAACGGCACCGGATCTCGTTGGAGCTTATGGTGCTCTCATGACTTCCCCTCGCTGATCGATGGCGGTCTCCCAAGCCACCACCATCTCCGAGCCTCCGCGAAGCACCGCTCGTCGTCGGTAAAGATTGGACTAGTCCTCACCGGGGACGACATCCGATTGTTGCGACTCTCTCCCCACTGGATCTCCCTCCAAACCCGAAACCGTGATGAAATTTATTACTGTTGCCTACCAATTTCAACCGTCACCGTCGCCGGCGATGTCACTCAGCCCAGCCGCCGCCAATTACCACAACTCCTCTCAACCGTTCTTCGTGATGGGCTGAGGGTGAAGATGAGATTTTTTGAAGATAAAATGGGTCTCTCTAAGCCCATGAAATTTAGGCCCACTTTGAGCAGCCTACTCATTAAATCTGGCATAGTTCTTATTATAGTAAAAATCAGATTTTCTAAAATCATACATGCTTTTGAGCCTAGTGATTTCTCATTTTTAGGAATCCAAATTTTTCTGGATTCTCAAATCCTGTAACCTCTTCCCTCTCATTGAGAGCGGTCGTATTTATACCATTCTCTCTGAGAATGCTTTCTTTCCCGAACTTGGCACCGGGAACCCCTAAGAATTTCCTCACCGATTCGTTTTCTTGTGTAGCCGTATTTTTGGGACCAAAAGAAGCAACCGGATTCGTCTCGACGGTTACCGGAGGTAGGAGTTCGATCTCAACATCACATTTGAAAGTGACCACTTTGTGGATTTCTGGCTTTGCCGAGAAGACCCTTTTGACGCATTCGAGGCACGCATTGGATTCGATGTCCATCTTTCGCGATGA